GGGAATTGGACTGGAGGGAACATACCTCAACATAATTAAAGCCATATATAAGAAACCCACAGCCAACATCATTCTAAATGGACAACAACTGGGAGCATTCCCACTGAAATCAGGAACCAGACAAGGCTGTCCACTATGTCCACTTCTCTTAACATAGTGCTTGAAACTCTTGCAAGAGCAATAAGACAAGAGTAGGAAATTAAAGGGGTAATAATTGGAAAATAAGAGCTCAAATTATCCTTTTTTGCAGATGATATGGTATTATATCTAAGAGATGACAAAAAAATCCACTGGAAAACTCCTAGAAATTAAGATCTCGATAATGAACATTTTAAATCTTTGAAGAAAGAGATTGAGGAAGACAATGCAGTGATGGAAAGGCCTCCTATGCTCATGAATTGGTAGAATCATTATAGTGAAATTCACTATACTACCAAAAGCAATTTACAGATTCAATAGAATGCCAGTCAAAATTCCCCATGATATTCTTCACAGATATAGAAAAAATAAAAAACATGGAATCACAAAAGACTGCAGATAGCCAAAGCAATCCCTAATACAAAGGGCAATGCTGGGGGCGATTATCATACCAGATCTCAAACAATATTACAGAGCTATAGTCATAAAACAGCATGGTATTAGCACAAAAACAGACATGTAGATCAACGGAACAAAATGGAAGACCCAAACATGAGTGTATGTAATTACAGCCACCTGATATTTGACAAAACAACCTTGAGAACTGAGTGCAATGCTGGGGGATTACTATACCAGATTTTAAGCTCTACTACAGAGCTATAGTCATAAAAACAACATGGTACTGGCACAAAAATAGACCAATAATGTTTATCTGTTGTTTACCAAGTTTGCTCTTTACTACTGAATATTCAGATTTTAAAGAATTCTAAAATACAAAATATTTACTATCAAAATCATCTAGCATTCCCAGAAGATGGGATGCCTGCCCTTTTTCCATTATCTATTCTTGAACAAGTTATCCCCTGCCACAATCTCTTTCCTTTCCTTTATAACACATCTTCACTGTGAGACCATTCCTCTTCCATCTGTAGTCCAACCCAGGCCCACACGGACATGTTTTCATGACACATAAAGCAAACAGTCCAGTGTGGATGCTCAGCTCAGTGACTAGTACATAAAAACAGTTTTAATAAAAACATATATTCTTGGACTGAAAATATGACTCAGTGGTTAAAAGCACTAGTTGTTCTTGCTGTTCTTGGGTTTGGTTCCCAACACTCACATGGCAGCCAGTCTAGAACTCAAGTCCCAGGGAATCCA